CACTACCTGCGGCGTACTTGGGGCAACGCTTCACGGCTGCTGCTGTCGATTCGGCAACTTGGGCGCATGAAAAGAGAGAGATCAGACTTTGACCCAGCGCAGTTGATGAGGAATCGGGAGATGTATATCGATTTCAGCGAGTCTCTGGATGACATCCCCGCAATCCTCCAGCCTTCGAAACCATTGAGCCAGGACGCCTCGCTGAGTACAGCAGAGCGGTCGAGCTTCATCTCACTGCGCTATCGCCTGCTGAGCACATACTATTTTTCAAAGCTTATGATTATCCACGAGTGCAGAGTCCTAGGGTTCGCATTAGTTGTAGGGCTTCGTGATGACGATGATGTTCTTGCCAGCGAGGAGGTTAATGTTGCTCGTGACTACATATATACTCTCCAGAGTGTCGAGTTCCACGTTTTACAGGAGCTCGGAGAGCCTGGGGTAAGTCTTTCTACCATGGCAGCCAGCGACTCTGAGGACTTGAACTAATTTCTTTTTACTAAAGATCGAGCTTATGCGAAGTGTGGGAAGCGTCCTGCTTGCAGTGTCACAGGGATCGGACGGTAGGAACAAACAGCGTGCTGTTTCGCAGCTCAATGTTCTTCTTGACATTCTCGCTAGGTTAGACTCGCAGGCGTCGGAGAAGCTGACGGCTCAACTTTCCGTAGATGCAGCAATTGAGTTTAACACATCGCCGCATGACGTGGCATCAGAATAGGATGGTACAATAAGATACTGCATGTCCAAAAGCTCCAAGTACCCTACCATGTGATTGCAATGGCTTGCCATGCAAACCAACAATACCAAGGAGAGCAAAGGGCAAATCATAACTACTAGCATCTTTGCCCAGTTACCAAGTGCCATCAGCAAAGTACTTTCCTAAGCTTTGGTCGGCTCATATGTTGATGCCACCACCTTCCCCCCATTACCCATGCAGACTTTACACCACTGCCCTGTGCGCTGGACGGGCGGCGGAGTGCATGTTCGGGACTGCGAGGCGTGCCAGCGTGTTGCAGGATGCAGGATGGGCGGGTCGCTGAGTGGGGAAGAGCTCTAGCGCAAGCTTCGGAGGGCGTTCGAAATTCCTCCGTGCCAAAATGCCGGGCGAATTGTGGTTTCAGCAGACATTGTCCGGACTTGTGTCGGGGAATCTAACCCCCTATACTTGAGATTGTTCCGGCTGGCCATCAATTCATCGAGCTGGGCGCATTCCCTAGCCACGTTATATAGATCAGGCGTCACTATTGCAGTATCAACGTCTCGGCTCGAGTCAATATCTTAAACTCCATACCACGAGGCCTGTAGCCGGTTCAATCGCAGAAATGGACGCTCAACCCGGGGCCAGTACACAGCTCGCTCAGTTTTGTAACCCTGTACGATGGGAGGACCTGCCCGATCCCGAAGTTATCCGTGTCGGCGATCGCTACTACATGAGCACCTCGACCTTTCACTTCTCACTAGGAGCGTCGGTCCTCGAGTCCAACAATCTAGTTGACTGGGCATACGTTGGCCATTCAGTTCCCGAACTCCCAGGCGGCCCCTCGTTTTCTCTTGACACGGGCAACAACAAATGGCACACCGGGTATGGAAAGGGTGTGTGGGCTTCATCGTTAAAGTACCGTGAAAGTGACGGGCTCTTTTACTTTTACACTACTATTCAAGGCACAAACCAAACTTATCTTTATACGGCGAAAAACCCTGGTGATACGTGGACGCCTCATCCGCCACTGAATAAGATCTATTACGATGTCGGATTGCTCATCGACGATGATGACACTCTCTACTTAGCTTATGGCGCCAAGTCAATTGAGGTCGCTCAGCTATCAGCCGACGGCTTAACAGAGGTTGTCAGTCAGGTAAGACGAGTGCCATGACCACCGCAGCAAGCCGTCACTAACGATTGTCTCATTGAGCCCGTGTATACATCAGACGAGTACCTCGCGCCTGGGGAGTTTTTCGAGGGCGCACGCATGTACAAAATCGACGGCGTGTATTACATCTGGATTACCAAGACAGGTAACTGCCAGTATGTACTCAGGTCTTCGGACGGTCCGTTCGGGCCTTACGAGGCTCGAGACGTCATCGTAAACATGCGATCTCCGATTCCAGGATCAGGCGCTCCACACCAAGGAGCGCTGATTGATACTCCGCAGGGCGACTGGTACTACATGGCCTTTGTTGATGCCTGGCCCGCGGGTAGAATCCCTGTTCTAGCTCCTGTCAAGTTCGATGAGGCGAAATGGCCAAGGGTCGTGGCTGATTTTTCTGATGCTCGTGGTCAATGGCTCGGCCAGTACCCCAAGCCGGCCAAAATAAGCAGCAAAGAATACTGTGGAACATGCTTCAAACGACACACCTTTGCCGAAGCTAAGCTGGACAGCTGCTGGGAGTGGAACCACAACCCAGACAACTCAAAGTGGAGGCTTCAGGATGGTATTTTGACGCTTGACACGGCTTCCGTCACGCAAAGTCTGCACTACGCGACCAACACACTCACCCATCGATCTATCGGGCCCGGCAGCAGCATAACCGTTTGTCTCGACACCTCGAAGCTTATTAATGGTGATAGAGCCGGTGTCTCACTGTTCCGCGACGAGAGCACCTACATCGGCATTCACAAAGACGATAACGCGGCCCGGATAGTGATATTCGATGGTGCCAGGGTAGGCCCGATGAGGATTCCCGTGGGCTGGATCAACGGCTGTCCTACGGCTCTTGACTGGAAGTGGATCGCAAATGGATCCATCACGAGTGAAACATCGTTGGACCATGATAAGATATGGCTGAGAGCCAAGGCGGACTTTAGGCCCGTGTTCTGTGACGAGTCTAAAAAGCAGACAAGACAAGCCATGTTCGAGTATAGCTACGATGGCTTAACCTTCACACAACTCGGCCCAGCTCATACCTTGACCAAGTCAATCGTTGGCTTCGTCGGTCTCCGTTTTGGACTTTTCAACTTTGCCACTAACAAACTTGGCGGACAGCTTCTCGTTGAGGACTGCAATATCGAGCTATGGAACCCGCAGAGCGAGTAGGATATCAGGTTCCAATCACGGGGGAGAAAGAGAATAGAACAAAGGGCTACATGCTTTGAACATGTCTAAAGAAGGGGGACTGCCAATTCAAATAGATTCAACCCATTAGGAATATTGTGTGGGATAGATGACAGGTGCTTACTACATGTAACAATCACCGTGAGTGACCCTTGTCCACAATGTAGACTTCAGGGATTATATATACCTTAGGTATCAGCTTGCTCAGCATGCTATAACCCACATGAAGAATGAATAGATCTGAGTTGAAATACGTGTATAAAACCTTTGTGTCTTCAAACACCCGGCATCTATCTAGGCTAGTCGATATCTACAAGACGGAGATGCATGGTAAAGTCAAAGGGGCCCATGTACAGCCGGTCATGCGGGAATGGCGGCGGTCCGCATGAACCAGACCCAAGACCATGGTGGGCATGGTCCACGTAGAGTAATGTATCGTCACACTCCTGCAAAAGATGAGGGTGTGTCTTCTCTTCCAGCTCTTGTGTCGTGTGGTGTCTGGCTACGAAGCTAAACGGTCCTTGAGCCATCCGAATCTCAAGCGCAGGGCTGACAACAGAACCACCCGCGGCCTGTAACTTGAGCCAATCCACGTCGCAGCGCCCACCGTTTTCTTGGGGGACTTCGTATGGAACATGCAAGTCTTCAACCTTTGATTCGTATAGTCCAAGACGCTGTGCCTCCTTCTTATCGCGGTAGCATTCGCCCGGGCCTCGGCCAAACCAGTTGACGGTATTATACGACCTGGGTAGTGCCATGTCGAGTCCAATGCGAGGAATTGTTGTAGGCCACGGGGAAGAACCCTTACGCTTCTCAATATCACCTGTAACCCGAACCGATACACTTTGAAGTGAGTGGGAGATGGTGTATTCGAGCCTAGCTCTGACCGCCCAGGTCAATGATGGTGGACCGACCCTCACTTCGCTTACTACCGAGATGGCATCGTCGTTCGAGGTCCAACTGTGCTTTGTGACCCAGGACCGTGCTATTTGCAGCAGGCATCGCTTCCATTCAGCACCGTCTCCTCCAAAGCCCACGTCGTTCTGTGTCATGCCACGGTAAATGCTGAGCTCCGGGCCGCGCGTAATTGTGACTCCGGCCTCGCCGGCCCAGCGGAATCCGCCGCGAGCGAGGTCAAAAACGATGCTGGCATTGTGGCCTGGGCGTGAGATAACGAGCCGCCCACGAGCTTCTTTGACCTCTGCCTTGATGCTGCTTTCGTCGTCTGAGGTGATGTTTGGAGTCACCGCCGGACTGACTGTAAGGCAAGCGGGAGCCTTAATTTGAGCCCAGGCGACCTCATGGCCTCGAGGGGCCCATGAAACTTCTGAATGGAGAAAAAATGACAGATTCAGCCACTTATTCTCTTCGGACTGCTCTCGGAGGGGAGCCAGAATCTCCTCGGGGATCTCCACCTCGCCACTCGAAGATGGCCCAATGGGTGGCAAAGCCATGGTTACCGAAGATGTCGGCTTCTGGTCTTGCACTGTGACGCTGACCGAAGCTTCCAGATGGGCTAAGTCTGAGAAGAATAGATGGTTTCGAATCGAGACGGTTCCGGCCGCGAGGTCCAGGTTATCCACCGTCACCGGTTCAATAACCTTCTTGTATTCGATTAATCCAGGGCTAGGCCGCTCATGGTCAGACCATAGCATGCCATCCATGACAAAGTCACTGTCATTCAGCGCCTGCCTAAAGTCGCTGCCATAAGCATAGAATGGCTGTCCACTGCTAGACCTTTGCAGCAGACCGTGGCTGGCCCATTGCCAGATGAACCCGCCCTGTAGAGACTTTTCGCTTCGATAAGCGTCAATGTAGTCTTTTAAACCGCCTGGCCCGTTACCCATGGCATGGGCATATTCGCAGAGAATCAGTGGGCGGTCATTCCTATTGGCGATGTGTTCTTTCAGCTCGTCAATAGTATAATACATACGACTATACATATCAGTATCCTTCGCTTCGAGGTCAGCTTCGTAATGGACCAGTCTCGTAGGGTCCCGCTTCTTGACCCATTGAGCCATAGCTGCAATATTCTCACCGTAGAATGCCTCATTACCCATAGACCAAATGATCGAGGAGGTTGAGTTCTTGAATCTCTCTACAAGCTGCTCAGCGCGATCTAGATAGGCAGCCCTCCACTCAGGGTTGCCGGAAAGCCACTTTCCAGCTTCCACATATGTTGCCTCACGCGCCTCAACTCTTGAAAGCCCAAGGTTCTTAGCGTCCAATATAGCACGCTCGGGCTTATAAAAGCCATGACACTCTAGGTCAGCCTCATTAATGATATAGAAGCCAAGCTCATCAGCTAGATCATAAAAATGTGGATTCTGTGGCTGATGTGAAGTGCGGATTGCATTGATATTGCAACGCTTCATCAGTAAGAGATCGCGGCGAGTGGCTTCGCATGGAACCGCACGGCCCATAGTTGGGTGATGTTCGTGGCGATTAACGCCATAAAAGATGATGGGCTGGCCGTTGAAAAGGATATTGCCATTTCGCACCTCAACGCGGCGAATTCCGACGCGCTGCGGAACCACTTGAGAATGAGAACCAGAGCTGAGCAGCACCTTGTAGAGCGCAGGCTGCTCTGCCGACCACAGTTTCAAGTCGGCTTGAGCAATATCAATCGTGACCTGGTCGTTTCCCTCGCCCTGACCTATCACTCGTCCATCAGGAGAAATGAGCTTTAGGCCAAAGCGGAAATCCGCGGAGTCCGCATCGGTGGTTTGGACAGTAGCGGTAACCTTGGCTGACGTGAACTCATCATCGAGGTGAGTAGTAATTGTGAAGTCCTCAATGGCGGCGAGGCGTGGAAAAGCCACCAGGTATACATCTCGAAAAATCCCGCTAAGCCACCACTGGTCCTGGTCTTCAACATATGTTCCGTCACAGAACTTATAGACGCGGACAGCAATAGTATTAATACGGCGGCCTTCGAGGTTCAACTTATCGGTAATATTGAACTCAGCAGCATTGCGACTTCCCTGGCTATATCCCACACGTTTTCCGTTAATCCAGACGTGATAGGAGCTATCGACACCTTCAAAACGCAGGCGAATAGCTTGCTGGCCGGCGTCCCAGCTCTGAGGGAGGAGGAACTCCCGAAAGTAAGAACCCGTTTCGTTCTCAAAAGGTACATTAGGCGGATCAACAGGAAAAGGATAATTAACATTGGTGTAGTGCGGGCGGCCATATCCCTGAAGCTGCCACATACCTGGAACAACAATGTCGCTCCATGATTCTGGCTTTGCCTCGTCCCATTCAGGAGCTTCTAGAGGTGATAAGTCGTGACGGAATTTCCACCTGCCGTTGAGGCTACAGTGCAGTGAGCTCTTCTTAGCATCAAAGGTAAGAGCTGTGGCCTCATCTTCAAAGTTGTAAAAGTGGGCACGCGCTGGCAATCGGTTGCGCTGGAGCACCCGCAAGTTGTTCCAATCCGGAGCCATAGTCACGCTGCCGTCGGCCATCATGTGCTATGCTTGTGTCGTAGAAGCTTGGAACGAGTCTGGCGAGACGACCCTCGAACACGCGCCCCATAATATATACATGAACCCCCCGAAATCCCATCGTTCTGATTTGGTCTGTGGGTCATGCCACTACGCTGTAGTTGACCCCTGGCACATCTCGTGCGATTTGGGACCGAAGATTGGGCCTGGTGATTGCCTCGGATGAGATAGTTGTCCTTAAGCATTAACCCGCTGTGGGCCACAGGCGCCGTCTAATTTCACCACGGTGAAATTAGCAACATTCCAGGGTCATGTCAGCCATTTCGCCGCCTGTTCACTAGACCAAAGGCGCGCATTGCATGGATTGCGCTAATAGCAACTAGTAGCAGCTCGCGTACCACGCCAAGCAGCATCCCAAGATGTCAATCGCGCGGGGTTTCTTGTCAAGAAACAATGGTGGAGTAGCCGTCAGAAGGTAACTCTAGGTAAAGTCTTAGACGCAACCCGTTTCGGGTATAATGAATGCTCTGCGATATAAGAAACTACAGAATAAATACTCGACAGATAAACAATCCGTTTATTTCCGTATCGGCATCTTATTGCTTTGGTATCGATTGGCTCGTATCCATAATGCCGGATTCAATTCTCAGGGACCCTATTGATGTTGCGGCGACATTACGCTCGCTCAAGGTCAACGAGAAAACCTCGCTGTTGGCGGGGCAAGATAACCATACAACAGTGCCCATAGAACGGCTAGGCATCCCCTCAATCACGGTGCATAAAACTCAACGAGCTATGTTAGTTTTGGCTAAGAACTAACGATACCTGTAGCTATCGGACGGACAGCATGGCGTAAGAGGAGCGCGATATTTCAATGCGGTATGTCCTCTAATCCCTCCCAGGGATGATGCTAACATGGAACGCCATTCTAGCCGAGAGGCATGATGCTGCCGGCTGCCTCTGGTATGGGAGCAACCTTTGACAAGGGTTTGATGTTGACCGTTGGAAGGGCAATTGGACGCGAGGCCAAGGAAAAGAATGCCCATGTGCTTCTCGCTCCAACAGTCTGCCTCCAGCGGTCTCCGCTCATCGGCCGAGGCTTTGAAGCATTCGGAGAAGACCCGATTCTCAGCGGATTGCTAGCGTCGAGCTACATCAACGGCATTCAAGAAAATGGCGTTGCAGCCTCCATCAAGCACTTCGCAGCCCACGATCAGTCTAAGTGGGCGCTGGAGGATGCTATTCGAGTCAGCGAGAGAACCTTACGAGAACTGCATCTACTTCCATTTCAGATTGCCATCAAAGACTCGAACCCGTGGTCTGTCATGGCAGCCTAGCATAAGATTAATGGAATTCATGCAAGTGAAGATTCTTGGTTGCTAGAAGAGATCCTTCGAAAAGAATGGGTTGGGATGGACTTGTTGTGAGCGATTGGCATGGTACTTATAGTACCTCTGAAGCAATCAATGCGGGGATGGATCTCGAGATGCCCGGTCCTTCTAGATGGAGAGCTCGCCTTGCAACTTGGGCCATCAATTGCAGGAAGGTCCGTGAAGCTACGGTGGATCTTCGTGTTAGGAATATCCTAAACCTCATCAACAAGGTTCGCCCAGCTCTGAACTATCAGAAAGGCAGCGTCGAAGAAGGAGACACCCTCGACAAGCGTCAGCTATGCCGCAAGGTTGCCGCAGACTCCATCGTGCTTCTGAAGAACAACAAATCAGTCCTTCCTCTTGATGTAACCGCTAACCAGACCTGCGGCCTCATTGGACTAGCTGCACGCTACCCGACAGCCTGTGGAGGCGGTTCTGCTGAGCTTCGCCCTTACTACGTCAACACACCCTACGATTCCATTGTAGAGGCGGTAGGCAAAGCCAACGTGAAAGAGGCAGTTGGTGCATACGGTAGGAAGCATACACCCTTATATTCGCCTTGATTACCCTTTCATTCATCTCTAACAGTTTTGGAGGTCACATATTTGCCCCGTTGTTGCAGCAGGATATTACAGTGCCCGGTACTCAAGAGCCCGGATACCTTCTTGAATGGTACTTGAAAGAGCCCACAGCAGGAACCGACTCTCCGTTGTACACGGAAGTTGGAACACAAGGTCTCATGATGTTCGCACACAGTCTCCCCAAGTGTGTTGAGGGAGGCTCATATTGGCTTCGCATCACAACGACATACAAGGCAACCAAAACTGCAACAATGCAATTTGGATTGGCCGTGCTCGGTCGAGGTCGAATGTTTATCGATGGCAAGGAGGTCATCGACTTGTTTACATCTCACCCTCCCAAGACTGCGCAAAGTCCCATGTTCAATCAGTGCAGTATGGAGGTAGTTGCCGATTTCGACGTAACCGTTGGGTCTGAATACCAGATGATGGTCACTCTTGTTAACGGAGGTATCGAGGCAAAGGCCGGTGCGGCCGCTGCCGGAGGCGCAAGAGTCAGCTGTTGCGAGAAGATTAATGCTGGCAAGGGTCTTCAAGATGCGGTCGAGTTGGCCAAGAGCGTTGATGTGCCCATCGTATTTGCTGGCCTCAATCCGTATTGGGAGAGTGAGGCGATTGACCGCTCCGATTTAGATCTACGTTGGCGAGCTCCGCGGATTTAGTGGAACTGGCGATGAAGTCACTTACATCGGCGCCACGGTCGAAGCGAATAATATCGATACTTTTGCTACCCATCTTGAAACTGGCAAAACACGTCGTCTATCTAACCATCCTGAATATGTTGACCCAATGACTTTCTCTTATGATAATAAGTGGATGGTCCTTATGGATACGCGTGGTTCAGACCGACAGATGTGGATGGCTGGCATGCGTGGTATTCCACCGCTGATTGACGTTTTAACTATTGCCGCTGCTTCTACTACCCGCAACAACGGCGCGCGACGATTCTTCCAGCCTATTCTACTTGATGGATACGGTGACCGAGATCCATACTATGGCCAGCAAATTAACGCAAAGGGTAATGGCAGTAACGGCAGCGTTAATGACCCAAACTTGAACGGTCGAGCCGATCCTGCGTTTAGCAAAGATGGCACCAAGATCGTTTTTTGGCAGACTCTCGTAGTCGCTCCAGCTTGCGGTGGTGTTAACCCGTTGCCATGCCCCCAGTCAACTGCTCAGGGTGGGCGTGAATACAGGGTTGTGCTTGCAAAGCTGACCAGCCGCGAGCCCACGACGCCGCCGCCGGCCGTCAAGGTGCCTGACATAATTCCTTGGGCGGTTCAGTTCCAGCCAGGAACTGAGATCCCACCTAAGTCATACTTGTCGCCTGGCGAATACACACTCGCTGGCAAGAAATCCGGCAGCGCCAATGTGTCCCTGCTGCCTGATGAGGCGGGCCAAATTGATACCGTCGCCGTCAACTACCTGGACTATTCCGATGATGGTAGGCACATTATCAATGGCTACGAGAATGTAACAAGATCTATCCTGCAGGGGAACCCTTGGAATAACCACTTGGACTGGTATTCCGACCTTGACCAAACTGGGGCTACACAAGCCACCAAGAAGACCTCGGATGATGGGTTCCATCTTACAATCAACGTAATGGGTGGATCCGGGTTCAATGCGACGGGCGAGCTTACAACTACTATCAAGGGCAAAGTTTATAGACAGCCCGCCAACTTTACGTAGAACGTGGGCACGAGTGAGACGAGTGGGATGGAGAAGCATTCGGGTAATACCGTTGGAGGAATCTAGTTGGGGTAATCGGTTCGTGGGGGGCTTGGCCGACTGGCATACGGTCAACAGACGTTGTTAGATAGTAGGAAGAAGGACCAATACACCGCCAAGATTTAACCGAGTCCCGACTTGAGCCACCACATTGATGCAACTGTACCAATGCCTACACCATCGATCGCTGTCAAGCGTAGGTGTGGGGTAGTGAACCGAGTCATCCGCCGTCGCTGCCAGCGGGAATCGTTTCACGACTGAACTGCATTAGATACCATTCGAATTGCTGCTATGAGCGTCATCTCTCGATTCGACGCACGCGTCGGCGCTATCCGTTCTGGGGATTCTCTCAACTGACAGAGGGGCGTAGATATCAGAGATGAAAACGACAATTTTCTTGTCATTATTGACTCCATGTGTAATCTCGAGCTTCTGTTCTATGCAGCTTCGCATGAGTGGTACGACTATCTGTCAGAGGCAGCAACTACCTATGCCAGAACCCTATTGAGAACACATCTTCGAAAAGAGCCCACTCGTCGAAGAGAAGGCTATGATGGAATGCTCTACAGTACATATCACGTGGTAAACTTCGTCCCTTCTGCAGGGGATATCAAGGAGGTTCGTACTACTCAGGGCTACTCTCCAGAATCGACATGGTCTCGAGGACAAGCTTGGGCCATTCTAAGCTACGCTCAGACATATAATTGGACAAAAGAGGACGACTTTCTCGTTGTAGCGTGCGGACTTGCGGAATACTTCCTTCTCAGAATGGAAGACTCGCCAGCTTGTGCCGAGATTCTACAGACAGATGGGGACAGCACAAGCTCCGAAAAGGCTGGCAGGTTCGTTCCATTATGGGACTTTGATGCGCCCTACATCATCCTTATTTAGTAACTTTATCATTTCCCCCCAAGCGATATGAAGGCAATTGACCTCGATATTTGAAGTCTGCTTCCTTCGACAGATATCATACGTCCGTAGAATGCGACTATATATGCTTCAACACATCGCCGGCTGCTCTCCAAAAAGCTAGCATGAAGAGGCCGAGAACATTCGCAATCTCATTCCCTTTGCCTGTTTCACACATTGACACGTGGCTTGGGGGATTCGGCATATTACGAATTCAATACGGAATAGAGAACACAAAATCGTCTTTGGGGGGTGGCCGCTGCATCCTCGCCAGCCAACCCCCAAACAAACCTTTCGTGGTCAGCTCAACCGAGAAACCGAGATTAATGTGGCGATCACTGCTGCACCATGATGGCGTTATGGGTTGATATTTTCGGTTATATTACTTTGTAGAAGCCACTTACATGCTACGGTGGGGAAGTGGGAAGCGTGGGTCCTCCCTCTAGTGCTGGACACGGAGGAATTATCCCAGCGATAATTCCCCCGGTGTACAATGTCCCCATGGTTGGTTGAAATATCACACCCATAATTCGTTATTGCCACGCTTGCTTGACAGTCAACGCAACTCGAAAACGCTTAAGGAATACCACTCACCTTTCTCCTGTCGTTTGCCAACACCATGTCTGTAGCCGAAGTTCAGTTCGAGCATTACCGGGCGCCCAACACCCTAGGCGTTCAGGAAACAGCGCCCCGCCTCAGCTGGAAGATCAAAGAACAGCGTTCTACATTCAGTCAACGTGGTTACGAAGTCAAGTTAACTGTATATGATTCCCGATTGCAGGTTTTGCACTCTTCATTGGCTACTCGTCACTCGACAATCTCGCAATTAGTCCCGTGGCCTTTCGACGACTCGCTACAGTCGCGTCAGCGGGTTTCTGTCAGCATCCGGGCCTGGGATGATCAAGGGGAAAGCACTTCCTGGAGCGAGCCTGTAGAGCTCGAGATTGGCCTTTTGAAACGCTCTAACTGGGTGTGTGAACAGATTGCGGCACCGTGGGCTGGTCTCACCAAGGGACCTGACTGCGAACAGCTTTTTCGCAAACAATTTCACATTGACCCTTGCGTCGGCAATCCCTTAGTCAAAGCGCGCCTATATATCACATCACAAGGCGTTTATGAAGCAGAAATCAACGGAATCCGTGTAGGAGATCATTTCATGGCTCCAGGCTGGACTTCATATGCTGGCAGAATTCAGTACCAAACATATGATGTGCTTACTCTCCTGAAATCCGGTCAAGACAATTGTATAGGTGTCCGTGTGGCAGAAGGGTGGTTTTCTGGCCGACTTGGATTCAGGGGTGGCCACCGTGATACTTGGGGCTCGGTTAATGCGCTCCTAATGCAGTTAGAGTTGACTTTCCAGGACGGCGCAGTAAAAACTGTAGCAACCGATCAATCTTGGATGGTCACCCGAGGTCCGATCAGACTCGCTGAGATTTATGACGGCGAAAAGTACGATGCCACGCTCGAAGTACCGCTTTAGTCATCTGCGCATACAGGACATGAATCGGATTCCAACTGGCAACAGGTAGTCACGTTGTCCGCGCTCCCAGAAGCCACACAACTCGTGGCCAGTTGCAGTGAACCTGTACGACGAACGGAAGTGATTAGACCGAAGGACAGAATTGTGACTCCAAGTGGGAATATCATTCTAGACTTTGGTCAGAACCTTGTCGGATATCTACGGTTGAAAGATATCTGTGGCCCTCGAGGTCACAAAACTACCCTGCGCCAGGCCGAAGTGTTGGAGAACGGGGAGCTTGGAACACGCCCGCTTCGATTTTGCGACGCACTTGACCAGTATACTCTGAAGGGGTCTGAAGATGAACAGCCAGAGATATATGAACCCAGATTCACAATTCACGGGTTTCGATATGCCCAAATTGATGGATGGGTTGGTGACTTGGACTTAGCCACGGCCTCGAATGCTATTGAAGCCGTGGTATGCCACACTGATATGAGATC